GCTCAATTGATGATTGCTGATACACTAACAAAGGGTGCTTATGTTGATCCATTTGTAGGAAATGTATTTGTCTTGGGACTCAGACTCATAGATGAGTCACAATGATATTAGCCTTAGTGGCATATTGATGTTTGAGCAATATATTGGACCCTTAGTGGTTGTTACATTGTATCATGGATAGCCTTTGTGGTTGCGTTAACCCTTATAACGATCATATAATTACCTGCGTTCGTGGCATTTTGAGTTTTATCTTGATGATGCCTGTGTGGCATGAGCATTTTGGATGATGCAATGGTATCTTCGTGATATAGTGGTTTCTTTGTCATCCACTAGCTTGTGTGGCAAGAACATTTGAGTGATGCAATGGTATCTTCGTGGTACAGTGGTTTCTTTATGGTCCACTAGTTTGTGTAGCATGAGCATTTTAGTGATGTAATGGTTTGTTGGTAATATACTGGTTTCTTTGTGATCCACTAGCTTATGTGGCTAATGCTTTGAGCATTTATGAGTGATTGGACCTTCGTGGTTTGCCCTTGTAATTTACATGTTTGAATATTCGACAGTTGAGGATCTCTTGGTGAGATGCATCTATTTGTTGGATTTTATGACAACTCATTGCAGTGATAAATTATCAAAATTTTGATAATGGGTACATGTATGGCATTGGCAGTGCGGGTGTCTGACGCATTGTGCTGTTGCGTACTTATTGAGAGAGTATGTTGATTCAAAAGCTTATGCATGAAGTTCATTAGATGGTTGATGATCATGCAATATGTCACGATGTGTAATAAGCTTGGGAAAGTGTGTGGTTGGTGCCATTGAGTGGATGGAATATATATGTGGATAGATTATGGATTGCTTAAGCATGTACAACTCAAGTGATCATGATAAAGAAAAATCACTCCTATGGATGGATGATTGACTATTAATAAAAAAAAAAGTCAAAAACTGTGGAGGAATGTTGGCATGAGGTTTTTCTCCCTAATTTTTTATTTTCCTATAAGAACTTTATTTCCTTATGACCAAGATACCCATGGCCTTATTATAATATATTTGCATGTATCCTTTTTGCCAAGTGTTAAAAACGAAAAGAACGCTCATTCTCTAAAAACCCACCTGTTGAATTTTAAGGCTTAAGAAGAGATGGGTTGGGAGAGAAACTTATGGTGTTTAGTCTCTCCGTCTCTCTCTAATTACCCATAATTCCTCTCTCTCTCTCTCTCTCTCTAAAGTTTAGAGGTGTCTTGATCACAAGGGAGTACTCATAAGCCTTGCAAGGTCACCTTGAGACATGCCACTGGTGAGCCTAATCTCATGCACCATTATCCTTAACTTTCTCGCTCTACATTGCTATTAATCTCTTCATGCTTCAGAACTTCTAGCAAGATATTGAATGCTTTTGATGCTTTTGAGTTGTGGATTTTCTTATTCTTTATAAGCCCTAGTTGGAGCATATCAATTGGTGAGTGCGTTCCAACTTCGTATTTGCTCATTTGGTCTGATTCATGACTAGGATAAAGCATGAACTAATTGATAACAGTTTGGGGATTTGATTTGGTGATTTGAGGAGCTCTTAGTTATAAATATATGCTTGTGCTTCTTATGTGATTAAATTATATGGATGTGAAGTGTTTAATAATATTTTCAAGTAAGGTTCAAAGAGAGATTTTGATTCAAATCTATTTTTGCATTAATCTAGATTAGTAACCACTTTAAATCGATCCTACCAATTAGGATTGAGATAATTCTTTGTAGAGGGACCAAGAATTTGGTTGTTGTGTGCATTGTTAAGACAATATCAAGAGGGCCCTCATGGCTATCTCTTTCCTCGATTTGAGTGGATTGAGTTGGTGAGGAAAGAGTGGATTGCTGGTCTTGGGTTGTTCAAAATAATCCATAGATTTCAACAAGGTATGGATGCCATCATGCATTATTCTTGCAAAGGAGGAGAACTTTTACATAAAAGGACGGGTTGTGATTGGGCATCGACCTCCATATTGCACATGGATATTCTTAAGGAGCTATACTCTTCACTTAGTGCAGGTTACTCAAGGTAAAAAAAGGATATGTGATCCTAATTTTGGAAGGGAATGAAGTGAGAAATCAAAGAGTTTGTTGAAGAATGTCATGTTTGCCAAAGGAATGAAGGTGAAATAGTCGGTTATTGGGGTTACTATAGCCACTCCTAGTACTTGATTATATTTGGACAGACATTTCATGGACTTCATAGAAGGGTTGCCAAGTTTTCAAGGCAAAAATTTTATCATGGTAGTGGTTAATAGGCTATCAAATATGTGTAGGTTGGCCTGATGTCTCAACCATACACTGCCTCCACTACTGCTCAAATTTTGTGGATAAGATTTTAAGTTGCATGACATGCCACAATCAATTATCTGTGGAAGTGCTGTTGTTTCTATAAGTAACTTTTGGAAAGAGTTCTTTCGACTACACGTATGCAACTTAAGATCAGTACGGCTTATCATCCACCGATTAATAGAAAAAGGGAAGTTGTAGACCGCAGTTTGGAGTTGAATTTATGTTATTTTTCTGGTGAGATGCCAAAATGCTAGGTAAGGTGGTCATCTTTGGTAAAATGGAGTTATGATGCTACACTCCAGTCTGTGACAATGATGACACCTTTGAACGGTCTATGCTCTACGTCACCATTAGTATCTTATTATTTTCCTGTTTCTACAAAGGTAGATCAATTTAATAAAGAGATACAAGATTTTGATCAGATTTTAAAGGTCTTGAAGGAAAACCTTCATGTTGTTTAACATCATCTGAAGCAATAGGTGGATCGTCACAGGTTGGAAAGGGAGTTTTAGGTGGATGGCTTTTCCTATCGACAGATCTCTATGAAGAAATGTGTAGTGCATAAGCTCTATCCCAAGTTTTATGGGCCTTATATGATCATTCAGAAAGTAGGTCTGATGGCTTACATATTACGATGAGGATTCATCCTCATTTTCATGTTTCTTATTTCAAGAAAAAGATTGGACCACATCATAGAGTTCCAACATGCTTCTTGGTCTTGCTAAAGATGGTGCCTTGAACGTTTAGCCACTTTCTATCTTGACAAGGAGAAATTGTTAAGCACAATGATCAAGTAGTTATTGAAGTGCTCGTCCAGTGGACTGATATGGCCCCCATGATGCAATTTAGGAGCATCTCTACAAGCTTCAACAACATACTTATGACCTTGAGGGCAAGGTCACATTCAAGGGGGAGGGGATGCTATATTTGATGTAGGGAAATTTGAGGGAAAAATAAAATATACAATAAGCACCTTGACACAAGTAAATTTGGAAAGAAGCCAAACATAAGCAATTTTGGAGAAACCCTAAGGCTTTCTCCCACCTAGGGCTCAACCTTAGCCGTCTTTTACAAGACAAAGTCTTTTCTTTGAGCCCTTAGCCGTCTTTTACAAGACAAAGTCTTTTCTTTCTTACAGAGGAATACATGAATGACTCTCTAGCTGTCACACACCAAGTTTTATAATACTAGAATTTCAAAGATGTGACAGTCCATTCTTAACGAACAAAACCAAATTTGAAATTTTCACTAAATATTACATCAAAACAAAATTTCCACTTAACTTTCCGATTTGTACAACGTTTATTTCACACTTATAATTTGCATGAAGATCTATGTGTATATACAACTGTAATAAAACAAGAAATACAAAGGGAATTCATCCATGACTATAACCTTCTTCCAACTACTTCTGCTGTACATACGAAGCATGCGGCTGCGATTACTCTAAAAAACATTTCAGAATAGTTTGATGAGTTTGACTACTCAGTAAGTGACCATCATTATCCCTACAAATCATGTTTAGAGAGTGTAAATATTTTCTAAAAGAACACATATTAAGCAGAATTTTGACATACTGATTTCATGCATTCTAATATACGCTATTAGACAGATTCACTTCTAATCTTACACATATCCTGTATTCCTTATTAAACAAAGAAAATAAGCATAATACATTGACTATATGCACATGATTGTATCAAGATCATATTATTACAATCAAGTATCAGATATGGTCAGACAAGTATCCACATTAACAGAAGTCCTGCACTAGAAGCAGTAACCTCGGGTTCCAGGCCATGGTTTCAAGGTTAGGACTTCTATTATCCCACAAAATGAAGCGCCACCATCGGGTAAATCCGTTGCGTAATACCTCACACACACACACACAACCCCAGCGCGCATTGGGGCTTTTGATAGGCACTGGCCTTGCAAGACATGGCCCTCTCATATGCCCTTTTGGCGAGAGAGCGTTGCACTACCAAAGGGGTCCTAATGAGTAGTGTCTTTCATAAGTTTTGGGGGTGCAACCTCCCAAACACAATCCGATCCTAACTCTCATCCTATTATAGAGAGTAAGGATAAATCACGACTGTCGGCATAAGTATCTCATCATATCATAACAGAGGCATGTCTTCATGCACTCATATTTTATAAATAGCATGTTAGCATGCACACCTATCTTATTAGAAGCATGCTGCTATACACGTGTATCTTATCAGAAGCATGTTGCCATGCACACATATCTTATTAGAAGCATGTTGCGATGCACACATCTTATCAAAAGCATGTGTCATATGTAATTACAAGGAACCTCAACATTTCTATGATGTACATATAGTCATGAGGGGCATCATTATGTCACACTATCATGCATATCAATTCAAAAGACCTTATTATGTCAATTGTAGGCTATATATCAATGTAGTAGATGTCAAACAACGATACTTTTCCATAAAATAATTCAAAGTAATTACTTGCACATAACACTTGTACATAACTCATGCATATAACACGTATAATATTTGCATATATATAACATTTTTTGTATCTAAGATTTATGCTACAGATATTATAGTTATATATGGAAGTACGTAAAACTTGTAGTTTTAGAAATATTATGATTAAATGCAGAATTATTTCTCGGAACACTATATGAATATCGAGTTTGGAAGTGTGCTCAGATGAATCCAGCATCAAAACAGCCTTCTTTTTCTGCGTGGGCTCAAATATTATGCGGGGTAAAAAAATTCCTCAAGAAATGAGTCCTGATATGAACACTGAGGAATCCATGCAAATTTATCAAATTCAATTATCCGTGGACTCCCATTGGAAATCATGTAAGATACTCCAAACTCAATTTCCGGGCCTTTAGAGGTTTTGTTAACATCTATTTGATCACTTTTTGAAATTAGGGCCATGTAAGATACTCCAAACTCAATTTCCACTATTTGTTAACATCTATTTGATCATTTGATCACTTTTTGATCACTTTTTGAAATTTGTTAACATCTATTTGATCATGTAAGATACTCCAAACTCAATGTCCACTTCGCTACTCTGAGTCCAATACCTTAATTTGTTGAATGCTCTACCTCTTCAATATTGATGAGATCTTCAAAGGGCATGATTTTGATTTCTCTTCTTGCTGCCTTCTCTCTATATTCTTCCCCCTCTTCCAAAATAACTTCACCATCATCTTGATCCTTGTCATAGATCGGATCTCCTAAGAAATCTTGTTGTTCATCTGAGTATATGTCGAAGATTGGTGGTGAATTCCAATCAACAACTTGTTGACTTTTCATGCAATTTACCTCAAAATAAAAACTATCATCCTTCAAATCAGAAACCATACAGTGATGTTCCCCACATCTAGGTCTTCTATCAATATCCTCATCATCTGACTCCACATGCGGAGCGCGAAAGTGAAAATGCTTGCACTTGAGATCTTCTTGATCTGAAAGATCATCGTCTTGCCCATTATTGAGGCTCGCGAACTGCTGCGCTAGCTTCTGTACGTGCCTTTCAAGGTCTTCAATTCTGTCATCTATAGGATCACAGTGTAGATCTACGAAAACCTCCCTTCTATGGCCTCTTCTTGCTGCCATGGGTTCGCCAAAATCTCAAATCCTAGGCAAATAATCAACAAAAATTGCTGAAATCAGCAAAATCTAGGTTGTTTTAGCAAAACTTTAGCCAAAATTAGCAACCCCTAGGTCCACTACAATTTCCCCTCTTTGTTGTTGACCTAGGGTACCAAAAATAGTAGTGTTACAGTAAATGCGTACGCTACATTAACTTTTGTACTTGCTACAGTAACTTCAGTGTGGATTGCGGGCTCTGATATGACTTGAAGTAGGGAAATTTGAGGGAACAATAAAATCAACAATAAGCACCTTGATACTAGGAATTTTGGAAACAAGTCAAACACAAGCAATTTTGGAGATACCCTGAGGTTTCTCTCACCTAAGGCTCAACCCTTAGGCTTCTTTTACAAGGCAGTTTTTTCTTTTCTTAAAGAGGAATACGTGAATTACTCTCTAACTCATCCATGCCCTCATTTATACTGAAAAATTATTGTTTTGGACAATATTTGTCATTGCAATAAACTTTTGACTAAAAGGTCCTAACTTAAATATGACTTCAAACTAAATTCCCTAACTTCAATTAAAATATCTAAAAACTCCCTAACTGGTCTGAAATGAATAAAAGAAACTATAAAAACCCTAGAATTCCTAAAAACTAAAAATCTTAATCTAAGTTGCGGTTAGGTTTTAGTATAAAAGAAAAATGTGTATTTTCAATTAGGGGAAATGAAAAACCCATCTTTTTTATTGATGTAGGAGGCTTGAGTTGAAACCGTTTGTACTATTCTTTTTATATATTTTTTGTGAGTTTTTCTAGCTGTGGCTGTGGCTGTGGCTGTTAGATCATAACATAGTCGTCAATAAGATATACATGTTGAGAATATGTAAATTTGGATTTTGCATAATGATTTCTGAACTTAGTCATGCGGATTGTTCATACTTATGTATTCCATTGAATAGAATATTGTGGTGTAATAGGGAAAGCCAATATGATCCATTTAAAATATGTATCAATTATGAAGTTTGTAATTGTCGCTGCTCTTGGTTTTGGCTCTTGGCTAGGTGGATGCAAGTACCAGATAAAAGGATGTGCAGGTCGTGGCGGTTTTGCTGAAGTATACAAAGCTTACAAGAGTGAACTCCCTGAGGACGTCGTTGCACTGAAGGTTCTTCCTTATCTTATGTTTGTGAGGTTTTATTGAAGTGCAACTCAAACCAAGACGTGGATTACATCTTATTTTCTCCAGATACAAAAGCCTGCTTTTCCTTGGGAGTTCTACTTGTACCGCCAACTTGATAAGCGCATACCGTCTAAGGAAGTACGCACAAATAGTTGAACTGCTATTATTTCTTGTCACTTTTGTGAAAAATCAGTGTGAGACTGAGTCCTTACTTAATTATTGGGGAATTTAGTTTTGCCAAGCTAATTTTCCAATTCATATTCAATTGTCTATAAAAGAAAAAAGAGAAAATCATAGGAGTTATCGTCAAATCATTCTGCTGTAGCACCAATGTCATACTTTGAACTTGCAGTATTTCATGTTCATCCCTTTTCTCCATTTGCTGATTGTTTAGGCTCTCTTCCATGCACTGCTGATTTTACGTGGATTCCTGTTTATACTTTATAATGCAAACATTTCTTATTTTGACTTTGTTTTCTGGGCAGAGGTCAGCCTTTGGCTTTGCACAAAGAGTGCACATCTTTTCTGATTGCAGCATTCTGGTCTGTGACTATGTGGCACATGGCCTTCAGGTATATGTTGTATGTGGAATGCTTGCATATGTTTTGTTGGAAAACAATCCAAGAAAAAAGAAAACTATAGGTATACTGTAATCCAATTGACTATGGAAAACCTTAGTTCACTTGGGTCATCACCGTCAAGAAAGGATCGGCAGTTATGGAGAGGGATTTGGACCCCTGTTGGGATCATATCCTGTTCTGGTGGGTCCCACTTCCTCTCCATAAGTGTTCAACATTCCATAAGACAGCAGAAAACCTAATCAACTAATCCCATAGTTTTATGTAATCCAAATAATGTGCACCTCTCTGATAATGAAATGACTGAGGGCTATGGCTGATTCTCTGGATCAGACAAGCTTTCATTGTATGCGCATTGGATGTATTCAACTCAGGATTGTTATCTGCTTAGCTAAAAGTTGAGGCACCAAATTTCCCCCCTTTTTTTTTATCATATGGATCTGTTATCTGATGCATTCATCATGTTATTATCACACATGAACAGGATGTTATAAATTCCTACTTAGTGACTGGACAACACATGGATGAAATTCTATGCATGTATTACACAACAGAGATGTTGCGTATGCTGGAAACTTTACACACTGCAGGCATCATTCATGGTGATTTTAAGTCCGACAATTTACTCGTTCGGTACGCGAGGTAAGTGTATTTGATATTTGGAGATCGTGTAGGTACCAAACTTGTTTTAGATATCCTCTGTGATCTACAGATTTTATGCATTGAAAATGAGAGTGCTAGAAATAAGTGTTGTAAATGACATAGTCATTGGAGGATCAATGTTGGGAATATACAGACCTACACCATATTACAGTCTCCTTAACCATATCATGGCACTGAAACAATATACTGATGCATTATTGGTATCAGAGTCATTATCTTGAAAGATGGATGGTCCTACGTATTTATTAAACATTAAGCTATATGTATCTTCACAGTTAAGAATGAAATAAAAGCACTTCCCTTGGTGATATTCAAGTAATTTTCAAAATAATGATTTCTTTGCAAATGTGAAGTTTTGATTAAGATAAATTTATATTTAGATTCATTGACTTTATTTTGATTCAATTAATTAGGGGAGTCGTGTGCATGTATGTTTGCCTTTCCTGTTATCGTTCAAAGGAATTTATGTCATCGTATACATGTCACTTTATAGTCTCGTTCTCTTGTAAATGAGGGGTTTAAGCCATCACTTTTATAAATGCAATTATGTTTATCTCATATACTTCATATCAAAGCAGAATTAGGAAAAAGGTCTGAAGATCGTAATTTGTTAAATTCAGTCATTGCTTGGAGTTGCTTCTCAACAAGATCTATAGTTCTTATGTTTCTATCTCTCAGTTCTAAGAATAATTGGGATAATTCTTTTTGTAAACTAGATTTTTGCTCTTGTAGGTCCTCAAAGGTAGAAGGACTTCTAATAGGAATAGTAGTCACTTGTATTCCTGACTAAAAGATTAAAGTTATGGCCCTATGGTCTCAAAGCCCAATTAGCCTTTAAAATGTTGCCTTTTCTTCTTAGATGATGCTTTCCTTATTGGTCTTAGGTTCATATAAAGAGTACTATAAAACTATATTCTCAAAAAAAAAAAGAAAAAAAAGAAAAAGAAAAAAAAACTAACAAGCACAACAATAGGAGGCAGTGCACTGTCTATTGTAGAAAAATAATAACAATAGCAACTTTATTGAAATTGGTAGAGAGAGAAAATAGATATGGAGAGAGGAATTTTGCTGCGAAGCGTATAGCTAGAGGGATGGGTAGATAGCTCTTAGATTTTGTTGTGTATTTTAATGGGTTAGTGAGCCCTCTTTATAAGCTTTGCCTTAAAATACATGTTAGGTTTTGTATCCAATGGTCAAGGTCTATCTCTACCCATATCAACGGCTAAGCCTTCCTTCTCCAATCTCTCTCTCTCTCTCTCTCTCACACACACACACACTAAAAAAAACGTTTTGGTTCAACATGACCATTAAAGCATTATTGATGGATGGCTTGAAAAGGAAAGAGAAATGACATTTACAAAAAAAAGGTAGTCAAAGAATTTAAGGGAAATAAGACTATTATAAAAATAAATAATATTATTAAATGTATTTAGAATAAAAGAAAAAGGAGGGGCCATGAAGTAAATGGTAGTCATGAGGCCTTAGTGGCTATACTCCAACACCTCCCATTGTTCCAAACATATACATTGTGATCCAAATTAGCTATATAGCTTATATAAGGCTAGATTAGTAGCCAAAGGGTTAACTCAAGAAGGAGTAGTTTATGTGAAGACACATTCTCTTGTAGCAAAATTTGCATCTATAAGGATAATAACATTGGTAGCATATTATGGCTTGGAATTATTTCTATTAGACTTTAAGACAACTTTCTTAAATGGAGAATATTTATTTGAAACAAGTAATAGGGATATGTAGTTACAGATCAAGAAGAAAAAGTATATAAATTCAAGAAATCATTATATGGTCTAAAACAATCATCGAGGCATTGGTACTTAACGTTTCGCAAGACAATTGTCCAAATTAGCTATAAAGCTAATAGATTGAATCACTATATATGTGTTTGAAATAGTGGGAGTAAATTTGTGTTTTTGTCTCTATATGTAGATGATATTCTATTAGCTCCAAATGATATGAAAATGAGAAATAAAACTAAATATTGGCTTAATTTATATTTTGAAATGAAGGATATGAGAGTAGCTTCATATGTTTTGGGAATAAAGATTACAAGCGATAGAAATTCTAGGCCTCTCCACTTATCTCAAGAAAAATATCTAAAGAATGTTCTTAAGAGATTTAAGATAGAAAACTGTAAACCAATGAAGACTCCTATATGTAAGGGCATGAAGTTCTCAAAGAAAGAATGTCCAATTAATGATGCAGATGAAGCTAAAATGGAACATATTCATATAAACAAGCCAATTGATCTGTTATGTAATGCTTTGTACAAGACTTGATCTTAGTTTTGCAATAAGATATGTCAGTAGATTTCTATATAACCCAGTATGACTCGCTGGCAAGCAATTAAAATGATGCTTAGATATATTCAAGGAACCAAACATTATAAATTATGCTATCAGGCGTATAACGAACAAATTCAAGGATTCTCTAATGCAGATTTTGCAAGAGATCCTGATGATAGAAAATTCATTTTTGGAAGTCTTTTCTTCTTTAGACTGTTTCTTGATTTAGTAAGAAACGTGAATGTGCTTCTCGATAAAGCAGAATACATCTGTTGTAGTATAACTTCTACTTTTGTTGTCTAGATAAGCCGTTTCATTAGGGAGTTGAAGTTGGAAATAACCAAGCAGCAATTTCGTTAATTACAATTGAAGCTATTACCTCCAAGGGAAGACTCATAGAAGTTGATTATTACTATATCCATGGTAGAGTGGGAAAAGAAAGAAATTGCAGTAAGTTATTTGCCTCCAAATGATATGGTAGCAGACCCTTGAACTAACTGATTGACTGTTGAAATGTCCTCCAAGCGTGTGACCAAGATGGGATTTAGAGAAATATAGATTATCCTCTTGAGAGGCACCTTTGAATGTTACAAAGTATTAAATCCTGTAGATGGACAAAACCTTGTAGTGGGTCATGTTACATAGGGTAAAACCTTAAACAGGCAAAACCTTGTGGCTTAGCAATGTTCTTGCATTCGGCCTTTTAGCCAAGTGGTTGGTGTTCGAGTATGACCCCAAAGGCCTCATGACTACCATTTACTTCATGGTCCCCCTCTTTCCTTTTATTTCAAATATATTTAATAATAATATTACTTTTTATAATGGTCTTACTTCCTTTAAATTTTTTGACTACCTTTTTTTTGGTAAATCTCATTCTCTATTATTTTTAAGCCACCAATCAATAATGCACTAACGGTCATGTTTAAATAAAATGTTTAGTTTAGTATAAGAGAGAGAGAATGGAACCTATTGATATGGGCAGAGAGAGATCTTGACCATTGGATACAAAACCTACCATATGTGGCAAGGGGATAAGCTCTAAAGCTTATAAAATGGGGTTCCCTTAATCATTAAAATACACAACAAATTCTAAGAGTTATCTGCCATCTCTCCAGTTATCCATACGCGTCACAACAAAATTGCTCTCTCTATATCTATTTTCTCTCTATCAATTTCAATAACGTTACTATGTTTATTATTTTTCTAAACTGTTATCAGTGCACAATTGGTCTATCTTTTTTTTATTTTTCCTTGTGGGAGCACTATCTAATTGTGGTGGTGCAATCAACTTGTTTCTCTATCTCTGTTGGGTTCACCCAAGGATCACCTTTAACATTTCAACTTTTTTTTTCTTTCGCAAAAGGGTTCACGCCATTGACATCAATAACAGGTACGGACCTGTGCAAGCAAGATACTTTTTTTGGGGGTTTGTAGAGACTTATTCTCTCATCTTTTTTGGGTTTTAGAGACCTATTTTGTAACATCTGTTTTTTGGGTTTGTAGAGGCTTATTTTCTCTCATCCTTGAAAGCTTTTGTCCATTTGTTGCCTCTCCCTCTTTTGTCACGTAGTGCTTCTCTCCCATCTAATAACCTTTTTTTTGTTTTTTATTTTTTTAATTACCTCATTGGGCACACGCTTTGAGATCCAATTCTTTTTGGTTATTTTTTGCATACTTCTTCTTGCTGAAGTATTCTATCCCCTAGTAAACTTTCCCGTGAAAGAACTTGAGGGTCGTAGAAGCAACGTGATTACCTTGTGCACCCTCAGTTGAGTTGCAAGCACAAACTGTTGGGGTCCAAACTTTTGCAGCGAAGAGACTTTCACTTGTCGCCCGAAATTAAAGTTAGTCCTTCATCTTGGTGATTCTTTGGAGGCCATTACCTGCTGTTCCACTTAAGGCAATACATGAATCACCATCAATCAAAGAAGTGCAACCATCATTATCTAAAAAAAAAAAGTTGGTAAATCATCCGTCAACGGAGTGGTCAATTGATTTAAACCTTGAATTTCATTGGTATTCCTATAATTTTCTGATAACATGGTTAATAAATTTGTGATGAGTGAACTATCTAAAACTGAAAAACTTAATGGGACAAACTTCAATATGTGAAAAAAAAAGAATTGCATCTTAATTCAAGACAAGAATGATTATGTTTTGACATTTATTAAGCCTGAATTGGGTTCAAACCCCTCTGCCCTAAGTAGAAAACAACTTGCGAAATGGGAAGGAGATGACAAATTGACAAAAACCACATTGCTTATATTTATGGAGGATGATTTGATAAGGGTTTTTGTTGATTATGAAACCTCTAAATTAATGCTGGACGCTTTGACGGATAAATATGGATCTACATCTAAAACCTATATTCAACTTTTATTTCAGAAATACAATTCACGTAGGATGAGGGAAAATGAATCTATGGTAGTGCGTGTTAACAAAATGATTGTTCTTGTTAAATACAATTCACTCATATTTATGGTTTTGACTATGAGTGACAAAATCCACAATAGCATGATCCATTACAAGAATATCTTTTCCTTTTATCATGAGTGATGAAATATGTTTGAGCATGACACTCCTCATGATGAAAAGTTTGAGAGGTATTCACCTTATAATAAAACTATAAATATTTGTCATGAGAAAGCATAAGAAAAATGTTATGACAAAGCATTGCCA